CGTGTCCCTATGGGATTCATCCGACTAGCGTTTAACCATCGACGACGTGGAATGAATGAGAGTGAATGAGGGTATGAATGGGAAAGTAGTAGGACCTTCAAATGGTGGTACAATAAGCCGCAGGCTGCAGTGCTGCCAGACTACAGACGGATTAGGGTGTAGCACGGGAGGAAACAAAAAGCAATTTGTTATTTAATGTGTTGATGTTGCGTGTGTTATTTTTACATTCAAAGAATCTGTTGTAATAAACCTGTTTGGCCACAATGACAAGAGAAAGAGTCCAGTTGTCCTGTTCTATGTAGATGAATTAGTGTCCAATAATGTCTTACTCTACATCTGCACATGGTAGTAATTTGATTTCTAATTAGATTAACGTCCTGAAACCATGGTTTTTTTAAAAGTTTGTTTTAGATGTTGTATAATTTTTTTTTAAAAGGTGAAATCCGTTAAGGGCTTTCTTTTCTTGAATCAATCGCACTAGGATAGTGTGGAGACTCCTGGAAACGTTTAGATCCGCTCAGTATACCCACTAAAACACATCTGGTCTATTTAAGTAGCTGTTCCTGGTACTGCTGTAAGCATTGCTTCGGGAGAGCGAAGTTTTAGTTGTTTTAGACCCTTACTTGTAGAGAAGGATGTAAGAGCAATCTCTTACATCCTTCTCTTTCGTTTCTATGATACGTTTTGCGTGTGTGTGTGTGTGTGTGTGTGTGTGTGTGTGTGTGTGTGTGTGTGTGTGTGTGTGTGTGTGTGTGTGTGTGTGTGTGTGTGCGTGTGCGTGTGGGTGTGCGTGTGCGTGTGCGTGTGCGTGTGCGTGTGGGTGTGTGTGTGTGTTTGTGTGTGTGTGTGTTTGTGTGTGTGTGTGTGTGTGTGTGTGTGTGTGTGTGTGTGTGTGTGTGTGTGTGTGTGTGTGTGTGTGTGTGTGTGTGTGTGTGTGTGTGTGTGTGTGTGTCTGTATCCACCATAACTCATGAACCGATACAAAGAAAAACACCAAATTTTAAACTTAAGCTTAATTCCAGCCTGCGGTGAATTGATTAGATTTTGGGCAGAGTCGGAACATTTGGAGGGTACTTTATTGGTAGTCATTTTTATATTTTATGAAATATATCCGTTATTTACGTTTAGAGAAGAAAATTTGTCAAATAAATGTTACTTATAATATTATTATCTATAATTTTTGTTCTATACAAAATTTACCTAAAATGGTCCGTATTCGAGAAATTTGACAAAATGTAAAAAAATTATTTTTTTATAAAAATTGTTTAAATAAAAGTTGTTTGTAATATAGTTCTCTATAATTTTTATTTTATACATAATTTCTCTAAAATGGACCGTATTCGAGATATTTGAGAAAAATTGTAAATTTCGAATTTTGAAGAAAACTCAAAAACGGATAAAGTAAAAAACATTAAATTTTAAACTTAAGTTTTATTTCGGCCTCAGGTGAAATGTTTAGATTTTAAACGAAGGCGGAACATTAGGGGGGGTACTTTATGGGAGGTCGTTTTTATATTTTATGGAATATATCTGTTATTGATGTTTGCAGAAGAAAATTGTTCAGATAAAAATTACTTAAAATATTATTATATATAATTTTGGTTCTATACAATTTTTTTTTAAAAGGGTTCGTATTCGAGAAATTTGACAAAATGTAATAAAATTCAAATTTTTAGGAAAATTGTTTAAATAAAAGTTATTTGTGATATCGATTTCTATAATTTTTTTTTATATGATTTTTCCAAAATGGACCGTATTGGAAAAATTGAAGGAAAAGTGCTAGATTTAAATTTTTCAGTATTTTCGTTTTCAATGAATATCAATAGAGAAATGTTTCGAGTTAAATGTATGTGGAAAATGTATATATTTAGTTTATTTTCTAAACATTTATAGAGGTGCTGCAATGGGTTGTACAAAATAACCGAAAAAAGCCTATAATAACTAGATAGGAAAGTCATGTGTTGGACACATCAGATTTTAATATTATCTGGGGTTATCTTTCCCATCCTATTTTCTACTTAATTTCTATCAGTCATTTATCTATCGCACTCGAAAAAGGTATGCTCGGATGCGTATTCGATTTCGCAGTAAATGCATTTTTCATTATATGCCACCTTAAATCTGCATCTGTATGACTGCAAACATCCGTGCCCAGAGAATAATTGCGTAAGGTGATATGTCATTTCTACATGCTTTCTTTTGAGCCATGAAACTAGAGTGGGTATAAGTCTTTTCTTCCACTGTCCGATGTTTGTTTCTGCCTCCCCATTCCTCTTACCACTTTTGTATAGTTCTCTCAGTCGCCGTTCTTCTTCTTATTTCCTCTAGCATAGCGCACCTTTCTTCTAAAAAATGTATAAGTGGGGTTCTGACTACTAAAAGCGCTTTTGTCGACGCGGTCCTATACGAGCTTGTTATTCTTATTGATGCTTTTATTTGCACCCTAGAAGTATATATATATATATTTTTTCATTGCTCTGCTCCATATGGTGGAGCCATAAAGCATAATGGAGTGCGCCACTATGAATAGTATTCTTCTATTTCCCTCCCGTGGACCTCCAATATTGGGTAGCAGCCTGCTTATGTTTTCAGTTGCCTTACTTTCCTTCTTTTGCAACATTTCTGACATGCTGACCCATGATAATATTTCTTTCAAAATATATTTCCAGGTACTAAATACGATTTCTATTTCTCTTAGAATAACCACCTCTGTTTGTTCTAGTGCATTTTTGTGCATAGCCACTTTGTCACCTTTGAGAGTACTTAATTTGTAGTTGTCCTCAGTTTTTCCTCGTCTTTTTCAGTTACCACTATTCCAAGGTCGTCTGCGTGGGCTATTAACTTCACTACTCGCGATACCGGAATTCTCATTATACCATCGTAGTAGATATTCCACATGGTTGGTTCTAGTACCGATCCCCAAAGAACTTCACTAGTGACGACCATTTTTCCATTCTGTCCCACGTAGAGCCATCTGTCTTCTATTAGGTTGTAAACATATGTCTTTTTTTTTAGATCTTTTAGGATACCGTTTCACGGGGTAGAATACACCTTTTTCTTCCTATTTTCTTAGCTTCATCAACAGTTTCTTGCACTCTTTGAAGGGCTTTTCTCACGAAAACAGTATTGTTCTTCAGCTAGGTCTCCACTGATGTCTATCTCTCTTTCAGTCTTGACAGTATTAACTGTTCTAGTAATTTATAGAACGTTTAATAAGCAGATATGTCTATATGCCTTGTTGTTCTGCCCATGCTTACCTTTCTCTATTAGCACCAGCTTTGGTTATTTCCATTGTTTGGAGAATTTTCCTTTCTTAACTAGCCCGTATAGGACTTCCAGTACTCTACTGCCTTTATGATTTCCGTCTGCTCCAGGTGCCTTTTTTCTTTCACTTTATTGCTGGCCTACGGTAAGCTCTTGTTTTGTGAATATCGGTATATTTACTTCGTCCGCCGGTAGTCTCTGCCATATTCTTACAGGATGTGATGGGAATAGTTTTTCTGCCACCTCCATTTGTTACTCTTTACTCAGCCCTAGTGGCGAGGTATTGCATAGCTTGTCCATTATTATTTTATATCCCTTACCCCATAGATCTTGGTATACTTCTTCTACTACTTTTTTTCCAGACATTTCTTTCTGCTTCAGCAATGGATTTCTTTAGGTTTGCTCGAATTTCTCTGTAGGCCTCCATAGCGGCCATTTTTTTTAATTGAACGTTATTCATTTTAACTCTGGTCATTTCCCTTTCTGCTTTAATACAGACTATTCTTTTTTCTGCAACCTCATCTGTCCACCATTAGACGGGTTTTTTATGTTTTAGGTTAGCTTTCTTTTTAAAAGTTATATTACAGGCTGCAGTAATAATTTTACACAGAGTCTTTGTATCTAGCTCTCTCCATCATGCTGCTCCAACTAAGATTCTACTTCTTGTGTCATTCTGGCGATTTGATCTTTTTTGAGTGTCCATCATCTACGTTTTTTATTATTTTGGTTTCCCCCATCATGTTCAATTAATTAATATATAATATTTTGGTGGTAGCTAAGTGTTTCAACATCTAGGACTTTCCAGCTATGAATGCTTTTACTAATTTTGTTGGTACAAAACGTTACATCTATGTACGACTTGCTGTCTTCCTTTATAAAAGTTGGTGCGTTGCCTTTATTGTGGATTATAAGGTCTTATTCTGATAGCCATTCCGATAGTATTTCATCTCTTTTATCCTCTTTGTCAGAACCCCAAAGATACGATTTTGAGTTGAAATCTTCTCCCACGATTATTTTCCTGTTCTAGTTTATCATCTACCTTCGTAGAGCTTCCAGACAGCTTGTATATATTTACAGGTCCACGTTAGGGGAGATATAACATCCAAATAACGTTAGTCCTTCCAGTTTCACCCATATGAAACCTTCACCTCTTCTTTTTTATGGTATCTTTAGTTGATTGTTTCTTATTATTACTGCTTAATCTATTTTATTATCTATATCTTATTTTCTTCGGATGGCTTTCTTTTTGTTTGGCTCTGCCATAAGAGCTATGTTGGCTTTTTTATCTTCTACGATTTTGTATATAAGATCCATTGCCTTCCTTCCTCTGTCTTTGTTGCCTTCTAGAATTTTTATCGCGAACTTTGCAATCTACTCCTCTTCTCCTTCCTCTGCTCCTGTAGCATCCTTCTGTACTCTGGACATTTTATTGTCTCTGTTTTGTGACCTTCAGCGTTACACAGATAGTATTTTTCTACATTTTTGTAGTCTTTTCTCTTTTGTCCTTTTTCGCACAATTTGTGACAGTACTCGTTTGTATCTTTATTGCCGCGCTGTATGGCTATGTGCTATGTAGCATTTTAAAAGAATATCCATTTCTCTAACTCTCCATCGATGTCAGCCATCCCCTATAATCTTGCTTAGTAATAGGAACTTGGCTGCATCCTCTTCTATGGTCAAGAAAGCATGTTTTTATCCCATTCAATAGCATTCTCGGAAACCTTAACCTGCACATTTTATTTCCAGTTTTTGCCTTTTTCTAGTTCTCTCTGGATTACATCTTTAACACCTTCTTGTGTCGTTTCGTCTATATCTAGAATAATAACGGGTTGGTTTCGTTTCCTTATACCTACCTCTGCATATGCCTTCATTTTTGTTGTAAGCAGTTGCCTAAATTGAAGCTTTGCGTTTTCTTCCGTACCTTTAATTCTTACCTCTACTTCCTCATTTTTTGTTTTGTTAATTTTTTCTACTACTAATTCTTCTATATCTACTTCTTTTTTTATATTTTTAATTATATCGACGTAGGTCTTTCCTTCAGCAGGTTTTAAAATAAGCGTTTACTCATTTGATTTCCTCCTGTTGTATTGTATCAGATCATCAACACCGCTTGTACTTTCTTTCCTAGGATTTTTCATTCTAATTTGCCTTTCTATTTTTTCTTCCCTACCCTTCCTTATTTTGATGTCACTAATATTTCTATTTACTAGGAACGTAGACATATTTCTTCCCTTTGTTTTGGCTATATTTATCGCTTGCATTAGGTTATTTTTTAGGTCAACCCCATCTCTCGGAGTTTGACCCCCACGTCTGCATTATAACACATGTGTAGCTTTCGTTATCTTTTAGGGCCAAATCGTTTCTAATAATCGTGCAAGCCGTTTTACTTCAAATCATTTTTCCTTACTTAGTTGCCCGTTTTCTACCATCTGTGCTAGTTGCGGATCTAAATATTTTTGTATTGTACTGTCCTCTGGGTCTTTGCCATACTTTAGTATTATGAATTGATCTCCTTCCATCTTGTTTTCCGTATTGGTTACACACAGTACCGTGCAACGTGTATTTACTTATTTACAGACAAGTGTTAAATATTGGTTTTTTAAATTATTTTTTGTTTCTGATGATAATTGTGTAACTGTTAATAAATTTATTTTCTTTGTGTTAATGTTTACAGACGTTATTCTATTGAAATAAAAGCTTTCCGAAAATATTTCTTAAAAAAAAAACATATTTTAAAATCATGTACCAATCCGTGCCTATCGTTGACAAAAGTTACAATACAACAAATATAAAATTAAGGCATTTAAATCCAAAATTATAGGGTGCCCGTTTTTCGTGCCGTGAGTGTAGACATAGAACATTTATTAAAGTTGTAAGAGCAAATGAAGAACATAAAATTATTTGAAACAAAAACAATGTAGTACCGTACCACTCTTTAGTTTACATAAAGCAGCAAATAAGTTATGAAAATAAACAAGAATGTGTTGGGTATTACATTAAAATTAAGAACAATGAAACCAGTGATAATAGTAAAAGTGAAACTGGTGGGAATAATGAAACTAGTGATACGGAAAAAACAGTAACAAAAACTAGTAATACAGAAAAAAGTAACCTTAACCTCGAGCGAATTAGCTAGTTATGTTAGTTTAAGTTTAGTTACAAATACTGATCAGGAATTACATTCTAGTAATTTTAGTTTAAGTCCAGTTACAAATAATGAGGTCGAAAAATCAACAGTCACAGCATCAGGCAGAATAGTACAGCCTCCAAACAAATAAAATCTATAACTGTTTATTATTTACCTAAAATCTGTTTATTTTGTTTTTAACTTTTTATATATAATTTTAGCTAACTATTTTTGTAATAAAAGAAGGAAGATGTCATATTAGTTAAGTAGTAATAACGGAACCCACCTTGTCACGTCAAGTGTCAGCGGTCATGAATTGTCAACACGGTCCAAGTCCCAGTCTTGGTTATGTAATGAACGTGAATAAATCTATGTCACAAGTCCCTCAATATTTATTATTAAATTACAAATTTAATTAACTACAAATCATAACAGCTTGTACCCTCCAAGCAACGGTGTTTGCTGACAAACTGACAGTTTAAACTAATTACTACTGGACTTAATCACGAAATATTGAAAGGAACGTTGATCTTTGAATGTTTTGCATTCGCTGTCTATTTTTGGCTTCTTTTCCATACTAGTAAATCACACACAAAAACAAGTCAAATCAAAATACTTCTACGTAAGGGCATTAGTCGGTTCGAAGATGTCTTTTAAACGCGGTCACGTACTACTTTATTTCACAAGTGAGTGGAATACACCAGAAATTTCTCGAAACACTGAGGTTATTCACGAATGTTTAATTGTTATTGCGATTTAGAAAGTACTACTAGCCCCACCTGTTAGCGATAGAGAGTACTACCATAAACTATTTTCGCTTTTGACCACCAGATTTCCTCAAGTGTCACGGTCGTAACAATACACAATAGTAATTCAACTAGCGAATTTATCAAGCGTATGCTCGCTCAGGGCGCGTACTGGGCGACTAGTCTAGAAATTATAGATAATTACAGAAAAATTAAAACGGTTCTGGCCCTTAAAACTTACTGGAGTAATCAGTATGGCCCTAAGGCTGGAAAGTTTGGAGAACCTAGTTGCAGACGATGAAAATACTTTGTTGCAATCGATCTAGCGCTAAAATGCTCTAACAGCAAACAAGAATGTGCTGTGAGCCAAATTTCAAATTTTTTTTTTCATCTATAACTTCTGATGTTAATAATATGCGAATCTTTCAAGTTTGCGTTTCTGCACAGGTTGTTTCAAAACGTCATCGTTGAGGGCTCCATCGCTGTGCAGAAAACTATTTCCATATTCTACAAGGTAAGATTAAATAATACATTTCTATTTAAATGTTACCTTTCGCAACTATCAGTGGCTCCTCTACTAATACTATCGAACGCAAAAACAAAATGACATTTGAACTCAGGGTAGGAAACATAACAACAATAAATTTTGTTAATTTTAAGCAAAAGTAGAATTTGCGCATGGGTAATAAAGATTATTAATAATGGGAAAGGTCTATACCCATGTCACCACAACAATCTCACAGTTTGTCTTTATTCGCTACCCTTCAAGATCATATTCCTCCAAAAATAAAAACAGTAAGGAGCCTGTTTATACGAGTAGTTTATTTGAAACTTCATGATAGCACATTTTTCATGGTAAAGGTCTATATACAAGATTGTTCAAAGCAGAAAAAAAGTAAATATACCTTCTTATCTGAATTTTTACTAGAATTAAGTATGACCATCCCAAAAAGCCTTAAGTACAGTACATCATAAAATGTAAATGAACAAACCCTAAAGCAGGCCTGCACAACTGAGATTTTCAAAGGGTCAGTTCAAAAACCGTAAGTGTGGTCGAGGTGGTCCTCACCTTATAATTTTATGAACCAAGTCCTTCTGTCGAGCTTCTAAAACAAGGGTCAGCTTACCAACTCCTGCTGTCAAGCTTCTGAAAAAAAAGTCCTTTTATCGAGCTCCTAAAAAAGGCAAGTAATACCTAAATGTAATTTCATTGCTGAAAAATGTATAGTTTGACGTAGACGGGCCAAACTGGTCAACGGACAAAGGGCCAAGAAAACGACAATAACGAGCCGCATGCTGACCGCATGCTGCCCGCGGACCGTATGTTTTGCAGGCCTGCCCTAAAGGGTTAACCAATAATTCTATACCTTAGTGACGGGAAACACGAAATTACTTTAAAATAAAAAATAGTAATCTGTCGAAATTAAATACCCACATTTATTTTTATAGAAATAGTATACTGGAATTAGGATGGAAAATTTTCTTAAAATTTAATAATAAAAAAATCTTTGCAAAATAATTATAATTAATATAAATATATAGAGTTACACACCTAATAAATGTCGTTTTCTCCCGATAAAGAGTCATTATCAGTTTCCTCATTCCCCACTGAAATAATAATTGATTCTATTGTTTCCAGATTTTCTGTTTCTCTGGTATGGCATGTTTTATAGCGTTTTGCCAATTGTCCAGTGAAATTTTTGATATGGAACAGTTTACAAATATCTTGAAGTTTAAATGTTGTATTGTTTTTTGCGACATATCCCTTTATTTTAGCATAGCTTAGTTCAATGGTGTTAAGTTTACAGTGATTAGGTGGTAACCGCAACACTTTAACTTCATATTCTTTTGCTATTTCATCTACACTATACTTCTTAAATGTTGGTAAATATTGTTTTCCGCCTACCTCTATCCAAAGTATACATTTCCTGACCTCATTGAAGGGAGCAAAGTCATACTTTTCCTCCCTAGGGAGGAAAAGTACTTTTACTCCCTAGGGAGGAAAAGTAAAAGTGACGTCATGGTATGTCATAAATGAAATAGCTTATACGGCATTGACGACCTAAACTATATTCTATTATATAGGTATGAATTTTACCATTTATTTATAGAACACCCTGTATTTTGCAAAATAGTAAAAATCAGTAAATTGTTATTTTAATTTAACGATTTTTACATTAATAATTTGACTTCAATTCATAGATTCATCCGATTTTCGAATTTAGGACAGAAATATTATAGCATGCTATGGTCGATTGACAGATCAGTTTTAAAGTGTGTTACGCTATAATATATCTACAAAATATACAATAATATTTAAAAAATGAGTGATTCAAGCAAATTTAAAGATATAAATAATACACCACCGGATATTTTGGAACAGGTTAATGCAACAGTTCAATCTCTATTACCCCAAAAATCTAAAGAAAAATACGAAAAACAGTATTTACATTTCAAGCAATGGGCCGAAGAAAAGCATATTCGTACTTACTCAGAAAAATAATTACTCTACCACAAATTAAAAATATGTAGGATGCAAGAATGAAAATAACATGCCTATAATTTATACTATACCTACTTCATAATTTTAGTTCTTTAATAAATTTTTTTTATTAGTTTCATAAATAAATTATTTAAAAATGACTTGTTATTTGAGGGAGGCGGAAAAATCATATGTATTACTTGGGAGTAAAGTCCCTTTTCCTCCCTTGGATGTTTACTGCCCTCCGCTTCGCGTCGGGCAGTAAACTTCATCCTGCGGGAGGAAAAGTGGCACTTTCCTCCCTAGTAATACAAATAGCTATTACATAACTCCAATACCTCTTTTTTGAGTAATCCCTCTTCTGCCACTATTTCTTTGGTTATTGGAGAGTTCTTGCTTTTACCATTTAGTGTTAGGTAACGGTTTCTTTAATATTGAATAGTAACTGGCATTGTCCATAAGTAATATAGAATTGGTTGATAATAAATCTATCATTGGACTGAAATATTCCTCAAAAACATCTGCAGTTATATCTTCATGGTAGTCTTTCGTAGAATTTGAAACAAACTGATCGTGAACTGGTAACAAGACAGATGAATTTATATAACTGTAACAAGCCAGTTGGGTCAAAACTACAATTAGGAAGGGTTATTGTATAACTAAGGTACTACGAATAAATTACTCACTCCTGTCTACTGATAATAGGAATTAAATACCAAAAATACCATCAACACATACCGCTAGTCTACAACAATTAATAGCTTCAAAAGCTTATATTAACATTAAATAACGGTTTACTTTTTTTCGTTCATATAGGCAAGGTAAGACGAATTTAAACTCCAGATTTCGTACTGTTAAAAATGCACGTTACGAACAGTAATAACCATTTAACGGGTGGAAAAGACAATATAAATAGAAATATTAATACAAAAAACTGTAATTATCCATAAAAAACCTGTTGCTGTATGCAGCAAAGGACAAAATGGATATTAACATTAGGCAGCTACTACTAACATCTAAATTGTAAAATAAACTCAAACTCATTAATACAATAATTAGTTGTAGCAGATATTTTATTGGTACGCGTGCCCCTAGAATACCCGTAACCAACATTACACCTTTGCGCGGTGTAATGCCGGTCCAAGAGAGGGCGCACCGAAAAGG